GAGGCGCTGTGCTGGAGCTCCTGGCTGGCCCAGCCCAGCTTCTGGAGGATGGCATCCTCTGCTGCAGCCAGGGGGCTAGCAGGCAGGGCAGGTGTTGGGGCAGACCGGGCCTGCGGTATGGCGGCCGCAGTGGCGGCAGCTCGGAGTCCCGAGGCCGCCCCCTCACAGTGTTCTGGGCGCGGCACATGGGGCTGCTGGGTGGCTGGGAGGTACCCAAGGGGCGTGGCCTCCTCTGAGGTGGAGGCCAGCTGGTGCTCACGGACCTGGGACAGGGCAGCCTGGGCATTCAGCGCTGGAAAGAGAGAGAGGACAGATGGGGTCAGAGCTGCAAGTCCCAGAGCTGCTTCCAGGGTCAGCAGTGTGCAACGCAGGACGCAGCCACAGCCTCACAGCTGAACTGAGGGAGGGCAGGCAATGAAGCACTGCCTTGGGAGCCAGGCCGCCTGAGTTCTATTCCCAGCACTGCCACTGACCTTGGGCAAGTCCCTTCCCCTCTTGGTGCCAGTTTCTGCTCAGAGTGTGAGCTCTTTGGGGCAGGGACCTTCTGGATGCCATAGGTTCTATGCAGTGACCAGCACTAGATCAGAGCTGGTCCCCCTAGAGGGGAAAGGCCCCATGTCCCATTCCGTGGCCCCTGAGCCAGCCAATCCCCCCATTATTCCCATGCCACTCGAACACCTCCCTGGTAGACAGCACATCGCTGGGAAAGGCCGTACCCGGGTTGTCTTTGTCGATGTCAGAGTTGAGCTCCTGGCAGGCCACGCAGTAAAGTTTCCTCTGCTTGTCTTGGAGCAAGATGGTCTGTAAGGGAGAGACAGCCTGGTGTGGGACTTCAGGGCAGAGCAATGCAAGAGGGGGTTGTCCCAAGATGGGGGGCAGTGAAACCAGAGCTGCTCCCCAGCTCTAACTCAAAGGCAGACTAGAACCACCCTCAGGCCTCTGATGAGGGAGAGGGAGCAAAAGGAAGGGAAGGAAAGAGAGCGGGTGAGACCAGGAATTGTCACCCAGAGGGCTGGGAGCCCCATTGCATGGGAGGGACTAGACTGCATGGCCTTGGGGTGGAGCAGCTTCCCCTACAGCCTATCCTGGTCTGGGGCGGGAACACAATGTAGTAGGGTGGGTGGGTGGAATAGTCCACATGGGAAGGGGAGTATACCATGCTGTGGGGGTGGAGGGAACTCTCCCCCTCACCGCTGGGTGATGGAAGCTCCCGCTCACACTAGGCACTGAGGTTCATTCAGCTCAGTATGCCTCCCTTTCCCCCCAGTCAGATCCATGGGCCCACTTAGCCTAGTATCCCACCCTTCCCACCTCCCAGATCAGACCAATGGGGCCACCCAGACCAGTATCCCTCCCCTCCCCCAGTGGATCAGACCCACAGGCCTATCCATATGACAGGGCTGGCCCCAGCCTGCTCCCTACTGGATCCCAGGCTAGAAGAGATGGAGCTGGCCTAGGACATTCCCTGCAGAGCTAGTGATGGATAGCTGGGGGCCCCTACACTGCCCTCTGCTCCTGCCTGGAGCACAGTGTCCTCTATTAGGCTTCCCACACAAGCCACAGGTCGTACCCCACACTCTTCGCAGCACTCCCCCAGCATGCGGTACCCCTTGAGCAGGTAGTTGCCCATCACTCTGCTGATCTTATCCTGCCGCTCCCTCCGTGCCTGGATCACCTTCAGCTCTGCCTCTGAAGGTGGCTCCCAGTTCCCATCATCGTTGCCTGAGGGGGAAGATGGGAAGTTGATAGAGCCATCGCACAGCATCCCTGAAAGCTGTCAGAGCAAGGACCCCATACCTGACACTGAGATGCAGTCACCTTTGGGATGGGGCCCAGGAGATGTTTGTACAGGGCTCCCTCACCCAGCACCATGCCAATCTGCAGTGATGCCAGCTGTGCCCATCTAGAAGGGGCAGTGCCACTGCGCCCATGAGAGGCTAAGCTGGCTGAAGCAGTTAAATAGGGTCTGTGTTGCCCCCTTCCCTCCGCTGCCAGATGCCACCAGCTCTAGCACTGCTTAGGGAGCCAGCTCCCACCGCAAGCAGCCCCATGACAAACAGTCCCTCCCCGCAGCCCCTACTAGAGCCCCTATGTCCCAAGCACCCCAACCCCATCGTCACCTCTTGCAGGGCTGCCCCTTCCTCTGCTTCCCCAGCCCCCACTCCTGCTCCCAGCTCAAGGCTCAGCTGCCCTTCCTGCTCCATTCCTAAATCCATCCCCTGCTCAGGGCACCCCCCAAGGGATCCTCTCCCGCTCCTGCCCCGCCCCCAGGCGGTACCTGCCGCGTTCAGGGCCATGCTACTCGCTCGGGACGCCCTTGCTGCTGCGCCGCTTCCGTCCCAGCCCCTTCCCCCTCCGGCCGGAAGCCCCTCCATGTAGGGCACTCGGACTCAGTGCCGCGACGGAAGTGACGTTGTGCGAAGCCGGGAACAGGGAGCCCCGGCCCGGAAGCAAGGCGCAGACCCCGCCTCTCGGGCCGGAGGGGACCCGCCTCCTGGCTTCCGTCCCACCCCTGCCGCGGGAGACCGGGCCCTGAGGCAGCCTCGCTCCTCCCCTCCCAGCCGCGGGAAATGCGAGCTCCAGGGACACCCCCACCTCGGGGCCTGCTGCCCTCACAGACCAACGGGAGCCCGGACGCCTGGGTTCCATCCCCCATCTCCAGCCCTCCACCCCTCGGGTTACCTGCGGCTGGGGCCGGTTCGCTGCCCCCTGCCCCCCATAACGGCACGTCCAGGAGGCAACCTCACAGCCCCCGCGGCTCACCTGGCACCAGGGTGCAGGGCCCACCAACCCCTGCTCGAGCTGGCCCGGCTCCCCGCCGGTGTTGGTATCAGCCAGTTTCTAATCGCTGGTGTGACAAGCGGGGCGAGAGGAGCGCTCATTTAGTGAGAACGAACTGAAACAAGACAAGGGACCCGAAGAAAAACAATTCTTTAATCGCCTCTACACCGATGCTAGGAGCCTGGGTAATAAACAAGAGGAATTGCAGTTTATTGAGCAATGAGTAATAATTTGCCCCAGTAGGTATTTCTGAAACCCGCTGAGATGATTTGCGTGATCGGAATGTTAAAAATCTCTGTACGTAACCTATTTAGGAAGGGTCAGGTGGATGACAGGGGAGCAGCACTCTCAAAAATGGCGTGACCTACTCCCGAGTCACTGACAGCATGGAAGCAAGAGACCATGAATGCCCACGGATCAACATCCTAACTGATAAAGCACAAGGTGGGCCACTACTGGGCATCTTCTACAGACCACCATATTGCACCTGCAAATTTAGCCATTTCACTGTTCACCCCCCACTTCCTGATCACTAACTACATCGAACACTGACCTGGTGGGCTCTGCTCTGAATCTTTCACCACGATGAAAGCAGACCATGTATTTAACGCTACCCATTGTTTCCTGTGTCCTAGCAAGTTTCTGGTAGATGGCAAAAGTTTCTCTCTCTCCCCTCCCCACTTCTTTCTACTTTCCTCACTCTTGGGAGGGACTCTGCTAGGGCCTTTGTGAGTTCAGCTGAATGCTAGGAGCTGATTCTCCTTCACTGACATTTAGTTTGGAGACATGCTCCAAGATGTCTAATACACAAGCTCAGCCTGACTTTCCTGGTCAGTTAGAGCTCTTCCTACCACCAGTGTTGAGGGCTTTGTTGATTGTGTTTCTTCCAAACAGTTTAGTGAGGAATGAAGTAAGATTTTCTGGAGCTTTTTTAAATAGGCACAAAATTTGTTACCATCCCATATAGCAGCTGTTTATGAGGTGCTCCCAAGAATATCTCATCTACTTCTTTCTTGTTAACTCTTGGATGTCTTGCTGACTTCTTGCTATCAAATTGGTTCCAGCACTGCATCTTCTGACACCTCAGTCCCTGGTAGCACCATATCTTTGTTACCACAGAAGAGCAGGTATCTCTCAGCATCCTCTGTGCAGAGGGCTGAGGGAAAGGAACATAGCATGTCAGCAATGTCCTTATCCTCCTTGACTGCTCCCACATCAGTTTAGGTGGTTCATAGGGAGAACCTCCAGCCACTGCTGTGGAGTCACTGTCATGCCTTCACAATGCTGCTTGGTAACAAAAAGTGTAATGAAGAAAACCAGCAAGGTTGGCAGTGTACTGCAGCAGGACTAGAAAGCTCCCCCACCTTGCCTGCTCCTTGCTTCCCAACATACAAGCTGGGCCTAGGGTTTTCAAAGCCACCACTGGCATTTAGGCACCACATCCCCTTTGTAAGGCCATTTTATGATAGTCTAGTTCTACCTGCATAGCACCCGCCTAGTATCTCCTGCAGAGATCCTTGAATTCAGGTCATCCCTTGGGCTGAGCCAGAGTGCTGCTTCTCGAGAGACAACCCATCTGGACTAAAAGACTCCAAGCAATGGAGAATCTTCCCTCCCCCTCTGCAGGTCAATTGTTCCACTAGGGGAATCCCCTCCTTGGGAAATACTTGCCTCTTATTGCCAGTGTTAATTTGTGTGGCATCAGTTCCCAGCTCTGCTGGGCATTTGTCTGGGAGATTCCCGCACCCTTGACTGTCAGAAATCTCCCACTATAGGGACTGACAGACTGAGATCAAATCACCCCACTTGGCATCACTGAGTTAAATGGGCTGAGCTTCTCAAGGCACGTTTCCCCACCCTGCAAACATCCTCATGCCTCTGTCCTGAGCCCTTTCCAATCCCTGGGCTGGATATGCTGTCCCATTGGCAGTCTCACCTATGCCATACAGAGGGGTAACACCACTCTCTCATGGGCACCCAAATCCCTTTGGCAGCTTTGAAACTCATCTACACAAGCAGTGAATAAGGACTGGGAATGGCTGAGCCATTACAAACATTGAATCTATCTCCCCTTGTAAGTATTCTCACCCTTCTTATCAAACTGTCTGTACTGAGCTATCTTGATTATCACTTCTAAAGTTTTTTTTCCTCTTACTTAATTGGCCTCTCAAAGTTGGTAAGACAACTCCCACCTGTTCATGCTCTCTGTATGTGTGTATATATATCTCCTTAATATATGTTTCACTCTATACGCATCCGAAGAAGTGGGCTGTAGCCCACGAAAGCTTATGCTCTAATAAATTTGTTAGTCTCTAAGGTGCCACAAGTACTCCTGTTCTTTCTGCTCAAGAGAGTCAGGCTGGAGGTTGACACATATCATGGCTTGAGATTTACGTTCAACCTACAGACAGAGTGAGATTTTAGGAGGGCAGGGGAGTTTGTGCTGGGTCTGCCTGCTCCATGGGATGGCTCAGAGCTAAGGAAAGCTGTTGCATTGAAATGTTCTGACGTGTTTTACCAGCACTCCCCACCGTGGCAGTGCTGCAACACGAGTTTGGGCTAGCTGTCTGCTACACTTCCCAGTGTTCCCACTGTGGGACAGGCCAGAAGCTGCTCATCCTGCTAAAGTTCAACCCCAAGTTCACCTTGCAAGATGCCTTTAGGAAACAGCAATGGCCTCTGAGCAGAGCTCCTCCAAACAGGTGGCAGATTTGATCATCCCCCAAGCCAGACTGGAAGAGCACAGCCAATGACTGTCATCTGTACCTTTGCAAGGTGCATCTTGAGGACTAGACTGAGAAGGGGAGTGGTTCCGGAGAGATCGTTCAGAGATAATGTAGCCCTTGATGAGCTAAGGATCACTCCCTAGAAGTGTTACAATGCAGAAATGGGGGGTTTCTTCATCACCAGAGGAAGCTAGAGTGCTGGCAAGAGATACCAGAGAACTGGGCAAGAGGGGAACCAGGACGGTTGGAAGCAGCACAGACTGGGTTAAAGGACAGAATAGAACAAGGGTGTACAGCCTAAAGCCAGAAGACACTACGGTGATCACCTGTCCGACCTGTCGCATAGCACAGAACCTCACCCCTGACTCCTGCATCCAGCCCAGCTATCAGTGTGCTTCTAAGCTAGCAACCTTCTATGGAGTAGCCACACGCTGGAGATGCTGCCAGGGGAAGGCGATGTTAGTAGCACCTCATCTGGAGGCGTCTGGCTGGCTGGGTTTTCTGGGAGCACCATCCCCATCCTTGGGAAGCCTTTGGGCTTTACTTGCGAGTGTCTCGTTTGAGCGTGAACCAAGCACAACCCTGGGAGAAGGGGAGGAAATGCGACCGCTAGGAAGATGAGTGCAGGGGAGTAAACTAGATGACCTTCTGAGGTCTCTTCCAGTTCTATGATTCTATGTGGGATGCTGCAAACACAAGGGCCCAGATCCAGCTTCTAAGACCCTGGTTCACAAGAGCCTCCCTCTGTACAGCTGGCACGTGTGGGAATGCCATTGCAGATAACAGGAGAGAAGGGACTGTACCCATCCCCCAGCCTGCCTCCCTGTATCACATGGGCTGGAGGTTCACCTGCAGCCATTCCTGCCCCTAGCCCAGATCTGGGCTGGAGCCACAGCACAGCCTTTAGAGACATTTGGCCTGGATGTAGCGCCCCCAAGGGATGGAGCATTCCTCCCACCGTCCCAGGGGGAGCTGCCCCGCTGGGGAATCCCCCATCCTGACAAACATTTGCCCTTCATTGCTAGTCTGAATTGACCCAGGGTGGCTCCTGCCTGCTGAATCTCACTTGGCCTTTGTGAGATTTGAGTCCTCCACTCTCTGGAGTATCCTCCCGGCAAAGCAGGGACCCTCATCCTGGACTCAGCACCTTGGCACAGATGAGAGCTGGATTCGCAGATGGCTAGGATCACACCAGGGCTTGGCTGCTCTCACCTGCAGGTCACTGGCACCATGTTTACACTGGGCCTAAAAACTGGCTTCTAAACCAAATTTAGATCAAACCAGGGCAATTTAAACAAGCCCAAAAGGCTGTGCGGGGGCCGGTGTTGAGTTGCTGGATGCTTAATAGGCTGGGAGAGTTGGGCCAGGTGGCTATGAACCCTATTGCAGCATAGTCTGATGTGTGATACATTGTGGGTGCTAAGTGATGTGGCCTGTAAAGCAACAGTAGCAACATTAAATAGGTTCCCAGCTCTGTCCGGGGCACCTGGCTACAAGGCTGGGGATGGGTTCCCGTCTCTGTCCGGGGCACTTGGCTACAAGGCTGGATTCCCAACTCCATCCTGGACACCTGGCTATGAGGCCGGGGGTGCGTTCCCAGCTCTGTCCAGGGCACCTGGCTACTAGGCCAGAGGTGGGTTCCCAGTTCCATACGGGGCAGGGTTCTGTGATGTTTAATAAGTTCTCACTCCATCCAAGTGATCTGGCTAGGAGGCTGGCAATGATGGATTCTCCTGTGTGTAGCAGGTCCTGCACTCCAAGCACTGCCATGCTTTAAGGCTGTGCCTGCCCCTCCTCCACCTCCTTGCCAGCCCCATCATCCTGGGGGCCCTCCCCGCCCTCCTTAAGGGGCCAGCAGGGCTGCCAGCCATGCAGGTGGGTGCTCTGGTGTTTGATGAAATTGGAGCCATGGCTGAAGCTCTTGCCGCAGTGCTGGCAGTGGTAGGGGCGCTCGCCCGTGTGGGTGCGGCGGTGCTGGGCCAGGTGGGCGGCACGGGAGAAGGCCTTGCCACAGTCGGGGCACTGGTAGGGACGCTCGCCCGTGTGTACGCGGTGGTGCTGCAGGAGGTCAGAGCTCAGCACGAAGCTGCGCCCGCAGTCGGTGCAGCGGTAGGGGCGCTCGCCCGTATGGATGCGCTGGTGGCGGATCAGGTTGGAGCTCAGGCTGAAGGCCTTGCCGCACTGCTGGCACCGGTAGGGGCGCTCGCCACGGTGCGTGCGTTGGTGCTGCAGCAGGTTGGAGCCATGGCAGAAGCTCTTGCCGCACTGGGCGCAGCGGTAGGGGCGCTCCCCGGTGTGGGTGCGCTGGTGCTGCACCAGGTGGGAGCTGCGGGAGAAGGCCTTGCCACAGTCGGTGCAGCGGAAAGGCTTCTCGCCTGTGTGGGTGCGGCGGTGCGTGGCCAGGTCGGAGCTGAGCCCGAAGCGTTTGCCACAGTCGGTGCATGGGTAGGGGCGCTCACCCGTGTGGGTGCGCTGGTGTCGTGCCAGGTGGGAGCTGCGGGAGAAGGCCTTGCCGCAGGCTGGGCACTTATAGGGGCGCTCGCCGGTGTGGGTGCGCTGGTGCCGGATCAGGTAGGAGCTCTCACTGAAGCTCTTGCCGCAGTCGCCACAGTGGAAGGGGCGTTCGCCGGAGTGGATGCGCTGGTGCTGCGCCAGATTGGAGCGGCGGCTGAAGGCCTTGCCGCAGGCCGGGCAGCAGTAGGGGCGCTCGCCAGTGTGTGTGCGCTGGTGCCGGTGCAGGTTGGAGCTCTGGTTGAAGCTCTTGCCACACTCGGTGCACTCGTACGGCTTCTCGTCGAGCCGCAGCAGCCGGCGGGCCAGACCAGGGCTCAGCTCGTAGCTGCGCCCCCCCTCGATGTAGCGGCACGGCTTCACACCCATCTGTGTCACCCGGTGCACAATGATGTCACCAAACTCCTCCAGCCCCTGCTCCAGGTCACCAGAGTCATCCGGCGCCTGTGCCCCAATGCCCGGGCTCTGGCCAGCCATGTCCCATGGGGAGCCGGGCGAGACGTCGCCCTTGGAGACCCCTGGCCACATCTTGTGGGATGGCACCATCTCAGGGCCTTCCTGGTCGGAATCCTCCTCCTCTGAGAGACAGGCGGCACTGTCGTCTGCCGGAAGAGAGCAGAATGCAGGTGAGCGTTGCTCTGGGTATGGGAAGAAGAGCTCTGGGGTACGAGGGTGGGCAACAGGGCACAGATAATGCATGGCCAGAAATCAGGGCCCTGTCACACTAAGCACTGCACAGCCTGCCCCTGCCCAAGATCATGGGAGCCTGTCGCACGGTGTGCAGCAGAGGCACAGACACCCACCTGACTGACATCGGGGGCCTGTCATGTTGGGTGCTGCACAGACACACAATGAGAGAAAGACCTTGGCCCAAAGAGCTCACGATCTAAATAGACAGAAGGGTGCGAGGAGAAACAGAAGCATCAGGAGGGAAAGGGAATCGCTCAAGGTCAAAGCTGGGGATAGAACCCAGGAGTCCTGGCTCCCACCCCAGTGCTTGCCCACTAAACTCCATTCCCTCTTTTTTAAGCTCTATATTATGCTTCACTCACTGGCAGCTTCCGAATGGACTGACCCAGTCACTCACCTGCTCCAACCTCCACTTCCTCCGAGCCCTGTGGATCCGGAACACTGGATTCCTTCCCTGGTTCCATCTGCGTCTGGGTCAGGGGCCGTTAGCCCTGTTTGGAGCAAGCAAAGGGGTGAGATGAGATCCCTTCAGGGACCATCTGCATGATCTGAGACCCAGCTCCTTCTCCCCAGAGGGGGCATTGGGGAAACCCCCTGGAGATTTATTAGAGTGAGGAAAACACCTGCTGCCCCCTACTGGATATTAAGGGATTTGTGAGTCTATCCTATGGCCTCTCTTAAATGCCCAGCTCCTGGAAGCAGGAGATTGAGTGAAAGTTGCAACTTTTGTTCTTAAAAGCTGAACCCCATACAGATCATTTTTAGGATGCTCTTGATTTCTAAGCCAGCCTCATGAGTTTTTTAGTACTTGGTGGCTTGGTGATGCTGTTTGTTCACTGGAAACAAACCATAAATGCACAATGCCAGGTGTTACACATCCTCTTACAAATCACTTTCAAAACACTAATGAAAAGCCAGCTCTCATACAGTGCTTTTGACCCATGATCTCAAAGCTCTTTATAAAGCAGGTCACTATTGTCCCCATTTTACAGAGGAGAAACTGGGACACAGAGAGGGGAAGGATTGCTCAAAGTCACCCAGCAAGTGAGCTGGGAATAAAACCCAGGAGTCTTGGCTCCTAGCCCCTCCTCCACTGTAACTGACTAGACCCTACTCCTCTCCCAGAGCTGGGCTAGAACTCAGGAGTCCTGGCTCCTAACCCCCACTACTCTAACCTACTAGACTTCATGCCCAAACCAGAGCAGGGATAGAAACCAGGAGTCCTGGCTCCCAGCCCTCGACTCCTGCTCTACCCACCAGATCCCACTCCCTTCCCAGACCCATGGATAGAACCCAGGAGTCCTAACTCCCAGTCTCTACTACTCTAACCTCCTAGGTCCCACTCCCCTTCCAGAACTGGGGACAGAAGCCAGGAATACCCATCGCTCCAGGTACTCTAGCCCAGGAACCAGGTGAGGGCACTCTGAAAACACAAGGAAGGAAGCCTGGGGAAAAATCAGCCCAGACCACTCAGGCTCTTGGACACTGTGGCCAAAATCCCTGATAGAAAATCCCACTGAATTAAGGGAAATTGGGCCCCCAAACCTCTCTTGGTCTCTAGTGCCCTGGAGCATCAGCTTTCAAGTGGTAGATGGCGAAATCATGGTGAGAAGTCGCTTCTACCCACCTTATTGTAGATTGTTGTCTTCCAGGACACCATGCCCCACCCTAAGCGGCTGCACTGTAGACACGGGTGTGTGTGGGTATGTGTGCATGACAGAAAAGCTTTAGGAGGCTTTGATCATTGTCAGTGAGACAGAGGAGATTAGAACCCAAACACTAAATGGCTATTGAAATTAGTCATAAGGGCAGACTGGTCCAGTGGGCAGGCCACTGGACTGGAACTCTTAGGTTCTTGCCTAACTTGGGGACAGAAGTGGGGTCTAGTGGTTAGAGCAAGGGAGAGACTGGGAGTCAGGACTCCAGGTTCTATCTCAGCTCTGCCACTGACTTTGGGCAAGTCCCTTCCCCTCCCAATGCCCATTTTCCTTCCCACTTCTTGTCCATTTAAAATGATAGGCCCTTGGGCAAACTGAAAAATTGATCCTCCAGAACCTGCTGCGTGACACACAGCAAGAGACAATCCCTGCCCCAAAGAGCTCCCAATAAACCCATGCTTCTCGCAGCCCCTAGGCAGGCTATGAAAGGCCAATCAGGGGTCCTGAGGCACTGCAAATGTTATTACAATCTCTCTCCCGCCACACTCTCTCCCCCACATACCTTGACCCTTCAAGGTCAAATATTTTCCGTCAACCTCTCAAAATAAACACTGCATTATATATCTACAGTTAGCATTGTTGTCAGTGATAGACGATTTTACTACACCTCTACCCCGATATAAAACAAATTCGGATACAACGTGGTAAAGCAGTGCTCCGGGGGGGAGGGGCTGCGCACTCCGGTGGATTAAAGCAAGTTCGATATAATGCGGTTTCACCTATAATGCGGTAAGATTTTTTGGCTCCCGAGGACAGCATTATATCGAGGTAGAGGTGTATTCATTTGATATCAAAGCTGAGTGGGAAATCACAAAAAATGTTGATTTCAATTAAGGGGTGACTGACCTGGGAAGGTTGAGAAACACCGGTGTGTGTATACGAAAGGTGGGGTGGGAAACAAAGGCACCAAGAGGGGAAGGAACTTGACCAAGGTCAGTGGCAGAGCCAGGAATAGAAACCAGTCATCCTGACTTTCAGCTACCCCCTTTCCCCTAACCACTAGACCCCACTCCCCTCCCTCAGCTGAGAAAGCAACCTAGGCATCCTGGCTCCCAACTCCCCTTGCTCTAACCACTAGACCCCACTCCTCTCCCAGAGCTGGGAATGGAGCCCAGAAATCCTGACTCCCAGACTACTGCCCTCTCCACTGGCCTGTGCTGCCCCTCATTAGATCTTTTGGGGTGCCAGCCCCCACCCCATGTAATCAGTCCCTGTAAGTACCTGCTGTACGAGAAGACCTGTGCTAATGGGGGTGGTTCGGCCCAACTCCTGATTCACAGCAGGATCCCTCACCCAGCTGCCCACGCCATCTCTGTGACAATGACCCTGCATGATGCACAACATCCCAATAACTCCCTTTCCAGAGACCCCATAGCATTAAATTGCCCTTGCACCCTCAGCACGACAGGAATTGACAAGGTGGGGGAGGTAATAGCTTTTATTGGACCAACTACTACTGGTGAGAGACACAAGCTTAAGGCCAGACCTGAAGAAGAGCTCTGTGTAAGCTCAAAAGCTTGTCTCTCAAAGTTGGTTCAATAAAAGATATTACCTCACCCACCTTGTCTCTCTAATATCCTGGGAGCGACACACCTACAACAACACTGCACACAGGAATTACCTTGACTATCCCCACAGGCCTGGGCGCACATACAATCAGCTCCCAAAGGACTTTACAGACCGTACCCGCTTTTTTGTTTGGAACATTGGAGGTAATTGTACACACATGGCACCCACTGAAATGCAGCTGCCTTAGGGATGGGGATTGTTTATACAGGATCCTTCATCCGGAGCAGTGATGCAGCCACTGCTGGAGTGCGGCACAGGGGGCATTTACATAAGATCCCTCATCCAAAGCTGAGATGCAGCCACCTCTGGAGTGAGGTGCACAGGCTGTTCATACAGGGATCCCTCGCCTGGCACTAAGATACAATTGTCTCTGGGATGGAGCAGTTCATACAAAACTCTCTCATCCAGTGCTGAGATACACACGTCACTGGGGTAAGGCACGGGGGCTGTTTACTCAGGCATCCCTCACCTGGTGCTAGGATGCAGCCTCCTCTGGGGTGGGGCACAGAGATTGTTCACACACAGATCCCTCACCCCAGTCCTGAGATGCAGTAAGACCTAATGGGTGTTGCCAGTCAAAGGCAGTGGGGCAGATGCCGGACACTGGGGTAGGACAGAGATGCCCCAGCACAGTGTGTGTGTGTGGTGGGGGGTGGGGTGGGGTGGACCGGATCTATTCCGGGCCCCGTGATCTGCAGCCAGGACTGGACTGGACTGGCTCTTTTCCCCCAGGCCCTCTAGGGCTGCCCCTTCTGGGCACTCACCTGGCTCTCCACAGGGCACGGGAGGAGGATGCAGGTAGAGGCTGGGGGATCCTGCAGCAACAGCAGCTGGCTAAGAAAGGAGAGCGCAGCCTGGCCCCTTTGTGTGGCTTCCCCTGCAGGGCACCCTGGGAAATATCCAGGCTCTCGCAAGTCGCAAAGCACTCTGGGGAAGGTAGTTCCTATGGGGCGGGAACTCCAGAGGTGAAGGTTGCTTGGCTCCAAGAAAGGTGGTTGCTATGGGTCGAGTCCTTTCCAGGAAGCAGTTGCTATGGGGTGGGGGAGAGGTGATTTCTATTGGGGGTGGGGGTGGTGCCTGCTGCAGGGATGGCAGTTTCTAGTGGTGAGGGAGGCACCGAGGGTGGTGTCTATGGTGGGAGGGGCTTGGGGCACAGCTCCAGAGAAGGTGGTTTTTGTGTTTTGGGGGTAGTACTTTCTATTGGGGCACAGCTCTGGGAGAGGTGGTTTTTATAGGGGGGCTTTGGGGAAGGTGGTTTCGATGTGGGGAGCAGGGCTCCCCCCTGCAAGGTCAGTTCCCTATGGCTGTGCCTAAAGCCCTGCCACCGCATCATGGCCCGATCCCCACTTGGCTTGTTGGTGGCAGAGATCCCCCAGCACTTGGCCCAGCAGCCGGCATGTCTGCATGAAAGGAAGAGCTGACCCCACTGCACTCTGCCCCACAGAGACCACGTCTGGGGCAGGGCTGGTAATTAACACCCACCCTGAGATGCACAGAGGAGTTCCCCCCTGCTCGGAGCAATTAGCTCAGTCTCCCTGTAGTCTCAACCAGAGTCACTGCATCAGCTACACTGCTCCAAGCGATCGGCTCAGGTTTTCTACAGTTGCAGCCAGTGTCATTGGACTGATTAGACCCAAAGCAATTCCCTCTCTCAGGTAATTGCCTCAGGATCTCTACAGACTCTGGCCATGTCTAAACTAGTAATCTTACAGCAGCATAGCTGTATCGATGCTGCTGTAAGATCTCCAGTGTAGCTGTTCTATGCCGACAGAGCTCTCCTCTCGACATAATTAAACAACCCCCACGGAGCCGCGGTAGCTATGTCAGCGCTGACCTAGCACTGTCCACAGCGGCACTTCTGTCAGTCAAAGGGATTTTTTTTTCCACACCCAAGTGACATAAGTTATAGCGACAAAAGCGCTAGTGTAGACATAGCCTCAGGCAAGCCCCACTGCATTGGTTACACCTGGGCTTTCCCCCTCTTGGAGCGATTGGATGAGGCTCACTGCAGACTGAAGGAGGCATCACTGCATCAGATTACATGTTCAAACTTTTCTCCCCAACCACAAGGGCTGGAAGCTTTTTATTTGAAATGGATAGAGCCCTGCAAATCCACAGATATCTGCAGACCATTTTTGCAGATTGGATACAAATTTTCTATCTGGACAGGACTCTATAAATGGAAGTTGAGACTTTGGTATAGTCATGAATCCAGACGCTGGTGCCAGAACCTGGGCATGGGCCTATACTGCCTTAATCCAGCCCTGCTGGGTACAACCCGAGTTCCCAGCACTGCTCCAAACCGCAGCGCATTATGGATGATTTTGCACCAGCGTCTGAGCTAAATGCACTCAATTCCCACAATCCTGCATGGAGCAATACAGACTGGTTGGTAGCTTCTGGCTGGGATGACCTCTTGGCACCAGAGGGTAGTATAGTGGCCCCAAGGGCATTGTGTGACAGCACTAGGGGAAAAGTCCACCATGTCTGTGGTATGATGCTGCCCTTTGTTGAACTTAGACACAATTCAACCTAAACCAAGGTTGACCCTGGGCTGGTACAACTCATACCTCAATCTGCACATTACTGTAGGGTGTGTCTGGAAGGAGGGTGGGTGCAATCAGCACTGGCTAATACGCTACACATGACAGCAGGCTGTTACTCTTCTAGCTACCTGATGAGCTCTGCAGCAGGAAAGCTGAGGAGCTAAGGTGTAAGGTGAGAAATTCCTGCTCTCCTATAAAGAGCTGTGTGTCATCTCCAGTGCACTGCCCACAGGGAGCCCGTCTCCATCCCTAACCCAGATTGTGGTGACTGTTGTAGCTAGCAGGATCTTCACACATTTAATGGAGTGGGAGGAAGCAAGATCTGAACACGGAGGAGGGACATGAGAGGCATCTCTGACCCAGGATAGGAAAATCATGGGGGGGAGGGGCATAGTGCCCTCCTGAAATTACTTCCCCAGCCATCCTATGCGTCTAGGGGATTAAACACTCAGCTCCCACTTGTGAATGGTGCACAGCCCATGCCTCTACCTTCAAGTGCCAGCACAAAATCTGAGCTCCACAACCTTCCTCTGTGTGAGGCAGCCCTCCCACATAATCTGACCCCTTTACTCTGCATCTCATTCCCATGGGTATTGCCACAATGAAGCAGACCTGTGGGCCTATCTAGCCCAGTATCCCCTCTCTGCCAGCTGCTTCAGAAGGTGCATGAATCCCCAGAGGAGGTAGCACTGGGATAATTGGTGACCTTCTGACCCCCTTAGCTAAGGGTCAGCTGAGGCTCTGAAACAGGCAGGCTTAGAACCATTCACAAGCTCTTTGTTATTCTTCATTGTTTAATTCTAGTTATTCCCAATACCCCTATAAGCATCGGATCCCTTTTTAGAATCTACTCAGCTCTCGCCCTCAGTGACATTTTGTGGCAACAAGTTTCCCAGACTAAGTGTGCGATGAGTGTACGAAGAAGTATTTCCTTTTGCCAATTTTCAGTTTCTCTACAACCCTTGTTCTTGTATCACGAATCTTGTATCCCACCTACCTTCTCCAGTGCGTCGTCTTTCATCAGGTTCCAGACTGTCTCCTCTCTGAAGATTGAAAAGACTGCGGTTGTTCAATCTCTCTTAAGAAGAGATTTCCCCCTCCATTCTTGTCCCCCATCTCTAAAGCCAGTTGGATTCATACAGTTTGAGGTCAGAAGGGACCACTAGATCCTCAAGTCTGTAACAGGCCAGAAAATCTCAGCCAGAGATTCCTGAATCAGGCACCTCCCTTCTATCTGAACTATAGCATATCCTTTAGAAAGGCATCTTAAGGCTTAATGTATGAAATGATCAAAACTAAACACAGAATTTCAGAAGTGGGCAGCTCTCTGCTTTGGGAAGGATGGTCCAGTGGTTCAGGCAGCAGCTGGGGTCTCAGACCTACATTCAATTTGCTGCTCCACTGCAGACTCACCTTGGGAAAGTTGCATAAAGCTCGTTCTGCCTCAGTTTCTTCCACTGTAACATGGGGACAATAGCACTGCCCTGCCTCCTGGGATGTAACGATAACTTCATTAAAAGAGAGTGAGATGCGCAGACACTATGGTAAGAGGGGCCTATTCGTACCTAAAATAGATGTACAAAGTGGTCTTAGTAATATCTTTAGTATTATTCTCCACTCCATTCTTCCCTACCATTTCCTCACAAACGCCTTATTTAACCTAATCTTCTCTCCCCACCCCTCTCTATGAGGTTATCACCCATTCCTCAGGCATTTGCAGCTTCCCATTATGGCTTGGCTCAGAGGCTAAGACGCGCTTTGAAATATATATATAAAAATATATTCTCACTAGCTGAGAGCTCTTTGGGGCAGGGACTGTCTCTCACTATGGCTGCTAGAGCCTCCTGGAGTTACTCTAGTACAATTCCACTTCCTCAAGCCAGCTCCTGCATGACTGGATCAGGCCCCTGCACGGATTGAAGTGAAGAGCTTGGCCTCGAAGCATAAACCTCTACTGTTCAAGCTGAACAATGAGGTTGCAGCAGACACAAATGCTCTGGGCCCTGCTGGGGGTAGGAGATGAACTCAGCGGGGGCTAAGGTTTTTTCCTGAAAGAAGGAACAGCCAGGGCCCTCTGTTGGAAATTTTTATTTTGCTGGAAAAGCCGTGGTCAAAACTCCACACCAGATTCTAACAGATAAGCTTCTACGCAAGCACTAGCTGCTTTGGAAACACCTCAGCCACAGTCTAGTCTCAGAGGATGTGGGTTTGAACTGGGATTCAGATCAACTCCCAAGACGACAACAACAAATAAATAAAGAGGAGACTTGGGATTCTCCATCCACAACACTGAGAAGAGAAAGGAAATAATGACATGAACTCTATGAGCAAGTTACCTGGAAGACAGTGAATCCCCACCCCAACCCATGCAGAACCTGAGCCCAGACAGGGCCAATGTGGAGTTACGGGAAGAAAGAAACTATGCTTGCAAGTGTGGTGAAGTGCTCAAGGACTGAAAAATTAAGGAAAAAAAAGATACAGCGGGTCACAACTTTACTGAAACACAAGAACCTCCATTAAAAATAAACACACTAGAGGCAGCCAATACCCGTCGCAGGCAGCGGGATGGTGGGGGAAGTAGGACAAACTTTCCCGTGTAATGGGAGCCCGAGGGTCCGCCCGAGAATACGCTACCTGAAAGAAAGCACAATACAGTTTCAAAGGCTTATGTCAGAAGTAGCCACGGTGGCAAAAAGCCCAGAGATCTCAAGCCCACCCCAAGCCCTCGCACTGTCCACACACACAAGCCATGCTGGTTTAAAGTTAGCTTTAAACTGGTGCAAAGCCCTGGGTGGATGCTCCTATTCTGAAGTACTTTAAACCATACCATAACCACGTCCATAACCAATTTACACTGAAATGAAATAAGCCTGGTTTAAAGCCCACCCACTTGTCTTTCTTGCACTAGTTTCTGTCAACCAGTTTAAAAATCACGCCTTAAGTGAAAATTGATGCAACTTTCTAGTGTAGATAGTGCTAAATCTCCATGGGATTTAGCTCAACTTCACCGCAAGGTAGCTCAAAAACCAAAGGAGCACCTTGCCTAACACGAGACATGAAGCGTGGTCCAGTTGATTGGGAACTAGACTGAGAATAAGGAGACCAGTGCTCTCTTCCCCTCTCTGGGTGAGGAGGAGCCTGTAGAACTCCTGGTTTCTATTCCTGGCTCCGCCATTGAACTGCTGACACACCTGGGCCTCTCTGCACATCTGGTCCTCCTCCCAACCTATTTAGACTGCAAGCTCTTCAGGGCAGGGACTCTCTTTGTCTGAGGAGCACTAAGAACAGTGGGACTTTGATCTTAATTGGGGCTTCTACGAGCTACCATAACACTAGGCTGACTGGGCCAAATTACTAACACTTTAGCTTTATAGACATTGACGAATCTCCACAACAGCCCCTGGGTGGTAAGACGACAATAGTGAAATGACTCAGAGCTTGTTACGTAGGGACACTCTGGAAAGTGAAGATGAATTAACTAACCGTGTGAATTTTAAGTGGATTAAACTGCATTAAGTCCCTGTGTGGATGCTCTTGTTCAGAATTAAAATAGCCTTACTTTGGTTAGCTTAATTCACTTCCAAAGTTAATTAAACTAAACTGAACTGAGGCCACTGTAGTTCTGAATAAGAATGTCCACACAAGGATTTAATGCAGTTTAATTAATCCACTTTAAAAGCTAATTCACAATTTTCTCACATGTCCCCATGTAGACAAACCCTTAGTTTGCTGTAGCTTAACCCTCACTACAGCCAACTAAAGACACTTCAATTCTGAATGAGAGTGTCCACATAGGGGTTTGATGTGCTTTTACCTCACTCTTTCAGTTAATTAGTTTTAAATCCCCAAAGTGTTTCCTTGTAGACTAGACCTCAGAGTTAGACACAAGATTAGAACTCGGGCCTGCCTGCCTCCCAATGCTGCACTTTTCTCTAGTCTAGACCACACTGCCGCTGCCACAGGTTTCACCCGCAGAAGCCAATGGAGCTACATCTGCTTCTGACTGTGCAGCACTTAGTGCAAATATTCAGCAGCAGGTACAAGTTAGCCCAAGATGACTTTGAAGTCCCTGGAGTTTAATTTTAATGCTAAGTGAAGTCTGTTCTGTGCTCTCACTCTGGTTCCCATTCAGCAAAGCATGTGCTTACATCCATCCCCATTCAGCAAAGCACATGCTTAAGTTCCACTGACTCACAGCATGAGCTCAGTTTTAAGCACGCGGTTCACTGTCTGGCTTAACTAGGGCCACTAGCTACTATCACGTATATTCTGCTGACAACAGGAGCCAATGGCATATTGGGAGGCCCTTTGCTCTTGCAATGACTTGGCAGCCAGAGTGCTAAGTAGAAGGTTATCAAACAGAATGAAGGAGTTAAAGTTTTAGCTAATCACTGCTTTGGGGTTTCATTGCCTTCCAAGTGTCACTCCCCCTACCGCCTACCACAATCTTGGACAATGCCCAGTTTTGCACATCCAACACATACTGACAGGTTACAGAGCTAGTGCATTAACAAACTGCATTCACAGCCAAATTCCCACCACTCCACCTGTGGAATACTTCATGGGCTTTTACAAGACAGAGAGGTGAAGCTGGTATAAGAGCTCATGTCAGAGGCAAAATGTATTTGTTGATTCAGGCACTCCACTGGTTGAACACAGTTGTCCACATTAATGTGAGTTATTTTGCTCTGCTGTACTCAAGATTCCTTCAAGCTAAAACACTGCAACACGAACTATCTGCTCTTATCACTGCTAAAACCTGAGGGAACTGAATCAAAGGTATGTTTTTAGAAGGCTCTTGATATTCTAGAGCAGCATGTGCATTCTAGCAGTCTCACAAACTTGAAAGCCCATGTATGATGATGATTTATAAATGTAAAGCCAGACGGGACCATTAGTATATGTGCTGCCACTCCTGTATAACACAGGTGAGAGAATGTCACTCAGTTCCCCAACTTTGAGCCCAATACATTGTGTTTGAGTAAAGCACTTTCCAGAAGACAGTCAGGCTGGACTGGAGGCTTCATGAAATGGAAAATACACCACTTCCCTTGGGAGTTTATTCCAATGGTTAAATCAACCTCACTGTGTAAAACTTGTGCCTTATTTCTAATTTGACTTTCTCTGGATTTAACTCTCAGCCATTGGTTCTTGTTCTGACTGTCCCTGCTAGATGTAAAAGCCCATTAGTAGCCAGGATTTTCTCCACATGAAGACACTTATACACTGTAATCAAGTCACCTGTTGAGCAGGACCTGGTTTGGGGAGACATAAGGGATGGGACTAGGATGACAGAAAAGGCAGCAGAAAGCTCCCAGAATTTTCTTTCCATTTGTGATTTCTGCCACTGCACCCAAATGTAGGGGTAAAGAGTGAAGGTTAAAAGAAGCCAGGAGCATGGGAGGGGCAGGGGAGACAGGAGAAGATGAGCAGGGCTTGGGAAACAGACCCCTAAAACCTGCAACCCCAAGCCAGGAGTTTGGAGCAGGGCAAAAGGTCAGGCCACAGAGGCTAATTTATGAAGACATGGTCAGGATGGACAGCATAGCTATGCACCTGTGGGAAGAACCACCACCAGTGTGTCCATGGCATTGGAAGGGCCCTGGACAGCACCGAGTGTCAGCAGAATATATGAAGGCTGTGGTGGCAATGGGGGCGAGAGATGGTTCAGAGTTACACAAAGGGGAATTAGTCAGGAATATAACAGGATGGAGTTAAAGGAAATAGCAGGTGAAAAACTGAGGGATAATATCCCAAAAGAAGCAGGAATCCTGGTGTTTGAGTTACTTGGAACTGGACAAGACGAAAACCCTGAGAAAACTCCTGAGTTACAGTTGGTGCCAGGGTGAACTTGCTTCATGTTTTAAAGCTTTGCTTTGCAACCACAAGGCCTAACAACTTAAGTAAGCAGATTCTCACACAATCACATGACTGCTGGGGCTTTAACACCAACTATTGTGATACAGTTGTGAGAGTCGGCAATACAGAAGTTCCTGTCCATGTGAAATGTACTTTTAAGATTAAAGCGGACAGATTTTTTAAAAATTGGAGTTTACTCTTGTTGCATTTCACTGAAACAATGAAAACAGATTGGTTAACTAGACTTTGTTTAGTCTGTATCTACTGGCTCTCGGATGCTGCAAACAACGTAGGGAAAGATTTCTTTCATAAATCTTACTGGACTTTTAAAATAACAAACATCTCTACTGACCCTAGCATTTTACAGGTTTTCATGCCACAAAGGACCTCCTGAAGTCAGGCCTAATCGGGCCTCCTGTACAACAGGCCAGAGAATTTCATCCTATCATGCCTGGATCATGTTCAATAAGTTTCAGTTGAGCTGAAGTGTGGCTTTTAGAAAGATTTATAACCCTGATTTAAAGATTTCAAGCAATGGAGAATTGCAAAGGCTTGTTTTAAAATTAAGAAGTGTTGGGGCCAAATCTGACTGACACTGTAGTTTCAAATGTTGTTCAGGGACAGGGGGAAAAAAAAAAAAGAGTCTATTTCCCCTAAGTGCTATTTTATAAGGCCCTTAAACAGGAAGATCAAAATCTCTGCCAGTTTTAGAGTATGCTGAAAGGTTAGCAGCATTTCCATGGTAGAAATAAGTATGCAAAAAATAATTCTATCCTCTTCTTAAGAATAAATTGCTGGGTGATTTCAAGGCCCATAAAAAAAGGCACATAGACAACACTTCAAATCCAGCATGGAGATATGGATCTTGTCAGCTTTCCAACAGGGGAAACAGTGACATATTCCTTACTGACCTAGAGCCATTCTAGTAAGAGACAGATAAATATAGCTTTAAATCTGGAGTTGCTTTAAAGTCCAGATTTAGACCGTGTGCTAAAATAGCAAAGCAAGGTTGACACTGACCCCATACCAACTGTCTGAGTGCATCCTGCCTATCTCAAATCATCTTCATTCAAAAACATGATGAATGATTTAG